CGTTTATTCACAACCCACGTATAAATAACAACACCGATCAGCGATCCTTCATCATTAATGCTTTCATTGAGAGGTGCTGATCGTGTTTTTATTTATCCTATCTTTTCTTTTTTCGGTTTTCCTTTTGCTGAGGGACCGAATTTCTCTTTATTTTTTGGTTTTTGGGGTTCGAATATTTTTTCGAATTTTCCCTTATTTTTTTCGAAATTTAGTCTTAAAAAAAAAGTGTCATCTTGTTAGTCCTTTGTTTGATTTTCGTTCGGTTATTACCTTTTGTTGAGGGGCCGAATTTCTCTTTGTTTTATTTTTTATTATTTGGTTCAAATTTTTGTTCGAATTTTTAGAGTCGAAAAAAAAAATCATGTTGTTCGAGCCATTAGTTGAGTGGGATCAAGAAGATCTCGAATATCTCGAAGGTTTGGAGAGGGAATTAACCCCATGGGAGCAAGAGTATTTGGAAGAGATGTACGAGCAAAAGGAGGAGTATGAAAGAAAACTCAAGATCATGGAGGAAGAGCAACAAGCCGAAGCCGATAAGAAGTTCTCAAAATCGTGCGAGCAAGAAACCGAAGTGGTAGAGGTCGAGGAAAAGATCTTGCTCGTAGAGGACCATAGGCGGAAGTCGTACATGATGGTCGAAGTGGTTATCGAGAGCGAAGTCTTGGTCGAGTTCGAAGGGGGCAAAGTGCTCGAGGTTGAGAAAGAAGTGACGCACGTGGAGGGCGTGAAAGTCGAAGTCGAAGAGGAAATGTTGGTCGTAGTCGAAGCGGGCCATGATGACGAGGCGTACGCACAGTACGATGTGGATGTGCATGAGATTAGAGATGATGTGCGCGTGATCGAAGAAGAAGTTCTCGAGTTTTGGATGGTCGAGGATGAGTCCTTAAGGACAAGGACATTCTCAAAGGGGCGCGGGGTGATGCGGAAGTGGGTTCTGAGCCCCGACGACAAGAAGACCCAAGAGGCAAGACGACCCGATGAGGCTGGAAAAAGGGCCAAAACGACGCATGCATGGCCTAAAAGATGGGTACGAGCTCGTATGCGAGGCACTCAAGCACATGAGAAGCAGCACGAGTCCACACGAACACGAGGTCGCGCATGGAAGTGCGCAAGGACACGCGGAGTAGGTGATCAAGCCACGAGCGTCGACTGGGACGCATTGGCGTTTGGCAGTCGGAGGGAACAAGGTGTACGCGGGTACACGGCTGAGGAGCGGATCGTGGGTGTTGAGGGTACGCGCGACGCGGATGATGCACGCGATTACGTGCCAGGCGAGGAGTCGGGCGCGCAGGGGCGCGCGGGCGTTGGCACGGACGCGCGCGAGGAAACCAGCAATGACGTCGGGCTCGCGGACAACCGCGAGTGGACATATGCGGGCGATGCGCTGGCAGGGGCAGACCGCGACCGCGCAGACTTAGGAGTACCGGGCGTAGGCGCGTACGCGCAGGAGACGGGCAACGAATGCAAGGCGCGCGCTGGGCGCACAAGTGCGGGTGAAGCGAGCGGAAACCGAGGCCTAGCGGGTGTAGGAGTGCTGGGCACGGATACGTACGCGCGAGCGGGAATCAGCGTGGACGAGGTGTGCGCAATGGGCGACGCGTGAGAACAACGCACGCAAGAGACCGAGTCCGCCAAGGAGTGCGAGACGCGCACATGCGCGAGAGGCGGTCACGACGCGGAA